CAGATTGTATTTAAAAAAAAAAAAAAAAAAAAAAAAAAAATTTAAAAAAAATTACTCCGTTTCTTAAGAAGTGGATCCCAGGCTGTGGACGACCGGCTCTTTGCCTCAGTCTGCCTTTTTTTTCCCCCGCTCTACCAACCTTATTGAGAGGAATAACCCCAAATTCAGCTAGTGCTGCTTAGGTGGTTTGAAGTTCCCCAGCCAACAGTATTTTTGGGCGCGTTCTGAGCGTACTAAAATGCTCAGCAACTCTGAAAAATACCCGAGGCAAGAGAAGGTCTGGTCTTGAGTGGATGCTCTGTCATGAAGAGTAGTGATTTTTTTTTAACCATAACTTATTTCATTTTTTGGGGAGGTTTTCTACTGGTTTCCTCATTTGTGTTGAGAGTTTTCAAGCATTTGACATAAATGTAGATCAGACCTACTTGTGGTAAATGCATTAAGTCAGATTAACCGCAAAAATGATTAACAAAAAAAAAAAGTAGTATGTTGTGGGGTTTTTTTTCTGCTGAAGACCCCTATATTGGTAGAGCTTTATCCTGTCTGGGTATTTTATGTCCATGCTTGCTTTCCCTGATAGGATTTACTTCTTTCTTTCCCAAACTAGGTTTTCTGTCATTGCTATAGTGCAAGGAATTTTTGTGATTGTAGTTGCTTAAGTTTAAAAGTCAAGGAATGTGTCTGTTAATTCACTAATTTTTAATTTACGCACATCTCTGAGCAGAGAACAGCCTTTGGACAAAAAAACCCACAAAGCCCTTGAGGACTGGGCCGCCAGCGGTACCTCTGCCAGTAATGCACCATGCGTGTCCTGTCCTATGCTTCCAACCCTCCCACAGACTTGTTCTTTTAGTATTGGAGGCAACCAGGTCAGCGACAGCAGCATCCACCCTTCGGAGTGCCTCGTCTTCCTAAGCTATCTTCATCATGTCACTTCTGTTCCAGCAGCTGATGGACAGAAATCAAGGATTCCTTCATTTGAAATAGGCACAAAACTCTCAAAGGAGAACAAAAGAACAGAGCAAGTTTGTTACCTCTGTAAAATAAGTCTTTGCAAAAGAAAAATGTTTTTCCCATTTCAGCTAGGAAGAAAAAAAAAAAATCCCAGGGATTTAAGGCAGCCCAAGCAGTAGGGCACAGCTGAGGAAGAAAAAGCAGCATTTTTGCCGTTCATAAACATAAATTCATCATGAGGATTTGATGATACTGAAGCAAGATAATGCTAACTTAATCACTAAGACTTCTAGCCTATCAGCTTCTGCAAAACCAGGGACTTGACAATACTTCCCCTCCACTTCCCCCACTCGTTGCTGTGCTCCTGCTACCATGTTCAGTGGCCACATTTACATCTTCACAGAAATCGCCCCTGCTTTCTGTAAAGTGGTCAGGACGATTAAAATGTTTGAACCCTTCACCTCTGTAGGAGACGATTCCTCTTCTTTCTGGTCCGTGGTCGTTGGTAACAGGACGTTATTCCTGGACTCCTTCTTTGTAGCCATCAGCATATCTCGTTTTTTCTTCAGGTAGTCCTCTCGTTGCTTCAGCTGCTGTTCTTCAAGTTCTGATAAATGCTGGAAACGTATATTTTTAAATACATTTTAAAATTAATTTTTGGTACATGTGTTATGTATTTGCGAGACAAAAACATTTACATCGTATTTGCCTCCGAAATTACTAGCTGAAAAAAAAATCCAAGCTGAAGCCTCAAGCCAGAGCTGGCTACTAAGAAACGATCACAGGCCAAAGGCCGAGTACTGAATTCTATTCTAGAACTAGAATGATGATCTGAACTTTATGCAAATTAAACGGGGGAATAGCATAAAACAGTGCTTGTGTGCTGGTTTAAAAAAAAAAAAAAAAAGTCCAAACCAAACCCACATGATTATAAGAATAAAAAAATATATATTTAAGCGTTATACTGTCTTAGAGCTTTACTCTAAATGTAATCCTGGCTTTTTGCATTCTAGTTCTATGTTTGGGGTTTTTTTCTTGTTTGTTTTAAACTTACAGGTCCTTTCATCCCAGCTTTTTGCGCTGTGTTTTCTGAACGTTTTCCAGCTGACTGTTTCTTGTCACCTTTCCCTTTGGTACAAGATGGCTGAGGTAAGCTTTCTGGGCCTTTCTGTAATGGTCGTACTGGTTTTAAGTCTTCCCTTGCAGATTTCCGAGATTCCTCTAAGCAGCAATTTTACATAGAAAACAATCAGAAAAGAACAGGAATATATCAAATAAAAACCAATTTGGTGTCCTTCCAATATTCAGATGTCTCTTCTGATGAAACAGAAAACTGAAAAATACCCCAAAATCACATTTCTCCCATTTTTATTAATAAGACTTTCTTTCAAAAGCCAGAGATGTTGTATGTGCACTACGAAAGCAATTAGATAATGCTTTATGCCGTAAGTACCTCTACTGCAATGAATTATAAACTGTCAAATGCTCACAACGTAATCTCCTACTCAGGCTTCCAGTACTCAGTTCATACTTGCAATTTGGGTCTTGGCAAGCCGAGCCCAGTCACCGGCAGCTTCTGAGGTGCCCTTTGGCCAACCCTAAGTACGAGTCTACGGGTTCAGCTTCCCGCTTCAGAGCAAAGAATCGGAACGTACTGCATTTAAGTGAATTGGATGGGAGAGGAGGGAAGCGAAGCTCAAGAGGCGCAGAGCTCCGTGCTGACACAGCTCTGTTACTCCTCTATGGAACCAACCCCTGGCATCTTCCACTCCCTGTCGAGTCCCTCGCCTTGTGCAAGACGACAGTCCTGCAGGACACCCTGTTGCTTTTCTTCTTGGACAAACACCGCCTGTGCTGATAAAGGACAGTAACCCTGTCCTGATTCCAGCTGCACCTTTCACATCTCTGCAGGCACCAGGGTTAGTTTTGCCTTGCATCCCACTGAACTCCATGGTGTCCAAGATGGCAACTTCTCAGAACGGCACTAAGACTTCCTACAGCTACTCCCGAGTAAGGTAAGCTGCTGCTCCTACTATACTTCTATTAAAAATGAAGATGCTTTTAACTGTTTTAAACATGCCTGGAAATCTCCATAAAGATGTGATAATACAGGTAATGAAATACCAATTTTACTGTGTTGAGTCAGTTTGAGTCTATCCGTAATACCCGAGTGGACACACGTAACTGAATGTAGGCGATTACGATTCTACAGTGCTGGATTTTTGGTGTCATGCGGAGAAATAGCTTGTGTGAGCATTAAGGTACAAGTACTCTCCTTGCTCTCTACGGGACAGATGGCAAAGCTGGCTCCGCTGAAGTCAGTGCAGGGTGAACACCACTCACTTGTTCCTTTAGGTTGCAGCAAGCAATATATATTTAGCTCTTCAACGTTGCTGCTTTCTTTAGTACAGAAAATTACAAGACACAAAATGGTGAAAAGGAGAGGAAATGTTACTCAAAGTATGGAAAACAAACCGGGACAGAAATGTAAAACAAAGGTCACACTGAGGAACTTGCATTTCAGTGAAATGTCTCGATGCTCCAAAGAAAGTCTTTTTGTGATGGATAAAAGTTCTTCGAGGCACTGTGAGAAGTCAAAGTTAACGCTGCTAGAAAAAATCCTCACACTGTCCTATTAAAAGGCAGGGAGGAAAAAACCCCAAAAAACAAAGGCAAAACGCACACACCGCATGCCAAATACCTACCCCATCACCAACATGATGATTGAGGAAAGCTACTTACCAGAAAGCAGCTCTCTGAAATGTGGTGTGTGTATGTAAGTTTACACTGTTGCGGTCCGTATCGCAAACACTCAAGCTGGAGCTGTTTGTGTCCTAGCAGTACCTGCAGATGTGAGCGTAGGACCCTGTGTCACTTAACCCACGAACCTGAAAAGATACTGAGAAGGGAAGGAGGGTGGATAGAGAACGTACAGATAGACAATGCAGCTCAAAGAATTACAGTTACTGGTACGTAACGGGTTTTCTCCTTTGAGAACTTGTCTATGTGTACATTGACACTCTGGGCAACTAAGCAACGTTCTTTTCCGTGTGGACAATTCCTTCAGAATCTTCTTGAAAGACAAGCAAGCACCCCGGACCGCTCCAGCAGACGCTGCATCCTTCGTATCCGCGTGATACATGCAGCTTGAGTGCAACTTTTGAAGTAGCTGCCCTGCAGGTATCTGGAAAGGGAAGCGTTCACCAAGAATGCTGGAAAGGTCGCTTGCGCTCTGAGGTGTCGAGCAGGACCTTTACTACGAAATTCACCCTTCTGATCGCTCCGTACTGCAACAAGTTGGGCAGCCAAAGTACAGGAGGAACGATTTTGCAAACTATTTGTAAGGGGCTCACCAAATGAAATTAAGAAATTAAGAAAATGAAGAACTCATTATACAGCGGAAAACTTTAAGGGGTCCACAGACTGAACTCTTGGGTCTCAAGGTGAAGGGGAAATAGCAAAAGACAATAAAACCACTGTGTATCTGAAGGAAGAGAAACGTACATCCAGACTGGAGGGAATGAAAAACAAAGAAAAAAGAAGTCCTTCCTTTTCCTGACTCCGAGAACTGGTTCATGCAAGGGCCGTGTTGCCAAGGCAGCCGATACTCCCCATGCATGGGATTCCTCCCCATGCTCAGGTCGAGAAAGGCGAGCTGTCCTGTTCCTCAGTAACACAGCCCTATGAGTGAGAACATGGAGCCAGGATCTGGTGGGCTGTGAGGGTCGGGGATCGACCGAGGTGAGGTGAGAGGAGAGCAGCTCTCCTGCCACTCTAGCACAAGCTGTCAGTGAAAAGTTCTTGCCATTTCTGTTCCCAGAGTTGTATCTGGCACCAAGAGGAAGCAAGTCAAGCAGAGGACGTGATCCCATTATCAGAGACGAACCTTCAGTTGGGAGCCCATGTTTTGGAAGCAGGCAATTAACAGCCTGGGCTGGAGGTCCTCGTTTCTGTGCAAGAAAGGGGTCTGGAAGATGATTCCCAGTACAGATTCTCCTTGATTTTTGCTGCCACTACACAAAACCACTTTTCTAAAAAATGATACTGGAAGATAAACCGTGACAAACTTTCTCATGTTTGAGAAATCAGCTATGCTGCCACAAGATGCCAGTTCGAAGGATGAAGATTTCCAAGGAGCTAAATGTTTTGTAGGCTTGTCTCTTCTTCGGCATTTAAAGAGCATGGGAATGCTCAGCACCAGCTGGGCAGACACTTGGACAGCACAGAATGGTTGTGCTCAGTGCCGAGAAGTCTTGACTCCTGAGCTCCAAGATCTCCTCTCTCTCAAGCACAGGAGTAAATCCTGCAGCCAGAGTATTTGCTAGGAATGTGCCTTCCTCCTGAAACAGAGGAAACAGCCGCTGCAGGACAGACATAATTTAGTGGGGCCATTACAAGGTGGTGCAACTACGCAAAAATAAAGAGGAGTAAAAGCAGGCTGGAAGAAAAGAATGTGAGTATACCTGCGGGCCTTCTGCATGCTTCTGAGGGCAGAAGGGAGAGAAAAGTTCAAATAAATGTAACAAAACCTCAGCAGAAGGACAGAAGGAATAAAGGCAGGCGCGGGGGGTGTGTTTCAAAGGTCAGTGACACAATTTATTCTTTAAGTTTCCTAATGTGAAAGATACTAACTCAGTTTAAAAGAAGAGAGGGTCCTACAACCACTTCATCTGTTAATGGTCATCAAATGAAAAAGCCGGGAGCAAGTATGCCCCAAAGGTACTACCAAGGCTAAAAGTATCCAGCTTAAGTGTCTGTGATATGACAACATCCAGTGTGAATGCATACAAAGACAAGTACTAGACACAGGAAAAATGTTAACTTAAAAGACAGCGCAGACTATCATTTCCCAAAGCTGGAATTATATTTGTGGGAGTGACCTTAGAATTTTTCACAAACTCGTAAGAGAGCCAATCCCACTGAGATGCAGCCTGGTTTTGAAGATCGCCTATGTATACCTATATACATAGACACGTGTGTGTATATACATACCTACCTACATGTATTTATGCTTCCTATCACCTAAGAATTTTCCTACCTTCCTGAACAGGTCAGCACCCTTGTGCTTTAGCTGCAACACAAACACACCAAGAGCACCTCCGTCACAACCAGTGATTTTTTTCTCCTCCATGTAAAGGCACTGGCTTGGTCAGGCTCTCAAGTAAATAACCATCTACAAAACAATCTGGACAATTTTCACTACGTAACTTGGGTAAAGTTCAAGACTACTTAGAAGAGCTCTCCTTGGTGTTGTTAAGTTGGTCAGTGTTACAATCCCACTCAAAAACAAAAATGTAAAATTGGAAAGATTAAAATGAGTAACAAAAATCTGAACCAAAGCCAGAAAGATTCAGTTTGGCGGTCTGACAATTCGGCTTGAATGAATCTTAACAGTTTAAGGTTGGTTCCTTCAGAGACGTTGGATTGCTATCAAGAAATGTTGTACAACTATAAATTAAACCTATAATGGCCACACACAGGGCAAGAAAGCATAACTTTGTAAGTAAATGATGCGTAGTTGCTTACAGGAAACTCACTGTTCTTAACAGTAATGGTGGCAGAAGCACAGTAAATGGAAAGATGAAAACTGCTGTTAGATTCCTGTATTTCTCCTCCAATTGGAGATCACTTACAACATCACTGAATTATAAACCAGCTCCGGTCGGAAAGCATTTCTGCAGGCCACCAGTCTGCAAATACCCTGCTCAGAGCAGGGCTAACTTCAAAGCTAGGATGGTTTACTCACAGCCTTATCCAGCCAAGTTCTTAAAATCCTGATACGAGTGGATAATTTGAAAAATACTATCATATAGCACACTCGGCATTGCATTTTCCCACAAAATTACCTGATGGAAGTTTTGGAGTTTCTTCAGAATCATCAGCTCCCTCAGTGGATTCTGTAACTTTTACAGCTTCTCTCGAATCTCCTGGAAAACTGTAGGTAACATCTGGTGATTGAAGTTTATTATCACGTGCCTTAAATTAAAAAACAAACAAAACCAAGCATTACATTTCCTGGCACTGTACTTCAGGCATTAAACTGTCAACAGAAAGAAAGCTCCCAAAAGAACTTTTGGTTAAAACTGTGTTGTTTACATTGCATTGTCAAAGTGAACAAAAGCAAACTACTTACGTTGTTTTACTAATAGGAAGGTTCTTACTGGCTTATAGTCGTAAGTGAGTATTTTTCATTTTAGTTCAAAACCTGTTCCCTGAGCAACAATCAGAATTTAGAATGTTAGGTAATTTAGTATTTTGTTTCCCAGCTACAAACAGGTTAACAGGGGTTTTTTTTGCCACACTTTGCCTGTGACTTTCAGGCAGACCTCTGTCCACCAGAAAAATACAATACAGTAAGAGAACCAGGAACATCCACCGAAGTAACCACAGAAACAGAGAAATAATCAGCCGAATGGAAACAACGGGTCTAGATAATCTCTGGCTCTATTGTTTTACTTCTATGCTTGTCTGGGAAATCTTGACAACGCAACCCACCTCTTAAAATTGCAAAGCCAGCTGGGATTTGCCCAGAAAATGTCTACAATGTTCATCAACCATCTAATTCGTATCAGAACCCCACAGCGTTCATCAAACTATTGAATTATTTTGTTTTAAAACATTCTCTAACAAAACCGTATTACTGAACAATTAACTGTCACCTGCGCCATCCAGGTGAACTTGACTGGGGCCTCTGTAATCTGGCTTGTTTGTCAAGAATATTGATATTCTTGGCTGGTCTATAAAGGTTTGGATAAGCCTGCATCTTAATACAGCCTGAATTCTTAAAATGAGCCAAACCTTGAGTTTCCAGGTTGTTTTGTAAGAAATCAAATAGAACAGGTGACTCATTTCCTGAAGTCTATCACTGTAATATGGGAAAGAAGAGTTTTGTCATCACTTTTCTACAGTGTCAGGCCCTGGGAGAGAGGTTTAATTTGGAAGAATATCCCAACTGTTTAGGACTTGCATTCAGTAGCATAGCTGTCAACTGCAGCTACGGTGGGTTTGAACTGGGGAATAGGATTGGAAATCAAGCGTTGACTTCTGTGGTAGTTGCATTTGGTCTCTGGGTGGTTTCTTTGTCAGTTCAGGCTGAAGAAAACAGTGCTTTCTCTCTTCAAATTTAGTATGCTCAATTTTCTAATGACAGAAGAGAATAGAAGAGCGATTCTGCTCCCTTTTGATACAGCCTACAATTCCAGCTATTTTCGTACATTTTCTCAGTGAAGGGGAGGTTTATTGCCACGATTCCACTGTAGAGGATTTCAATTCCAATTTGTTTCTCAGTTGCTGAACGACTGGCAATTTAGCCAGTCCCCCTTTTACATTCAATTACCTTTCTACATCGTGTACTCTGATGGAGACCAAGCGATGGTCTAACGTGGAGAGGATTTCTGGTTCCTGGCGATTAGGTTCTAGCAGTATTGTGCAGACTTAACGAGTAACTATGCTGTCTATAAAGTGATCCTTAAAATTCCTGAAGGATTATGAATGCTGTTATCTCTAAGGAGCTTATACTTTGAAGTCTCTTTGATCTTGACAGTATTAGTAATTCAGATGTTCTCTGAATCTGAAAGGTTGACATCCGTTACCAGGATTTTAGAATTCAGGAGAGAATACGCTTATCATATGAGCTCCACCAAATGTCCCATGGTTAATGGTATCATGTATAGCACTAGCGTCGGTGATACCATCAAGAAAGACGCAAACAGAACAGACCTTTCAAAGAGAAACGTCAGTGAGACCTTCCCGACAGACCTTGGGTTTGCTTAGGATGGTACGCGTCACCTTAAAGTGACACAGTCGACACCCAGGACAGGAATATCAGAGTGTTTCTTAATCATCAACATAACTCATCCAGAAAGGTAAGGTACTCACTACTTCGGTCCTCTTTCTTTCTTGCTCCATTTCATATTCTTCCTTAGATTTTCTGGAACACAAAATACAAGTAAATACTCAAAACTTCTTTAGTATTAGTGACTTTGAGGTAAATTTAGCACTGCTTAAATATTTGAGGACTATCAAAACAATTACAAGATACTATGAATTTATTGGTATCCAAAATACTTCCATGACTTAAATGAAAATGCACTCTTAATAGAAATAAATAATTATGATAAACACAACAGAACCCACCATCCTCAGTCTGTCTTTCCCTGTGCAAAAATAATTGCGTAAGAATTTCCAGGGTTTATCTATCCCTTGTTTGATTGGCTCGTTTAAGGACAGGAAGGGAAGTATTTCCAGAATACAGAGGGAAAATAGCGTAATTTAATATAATGTGAATGGATTAATCTGCTATTGTTTGTTTAAGATTATGTTTTTATATATATGTGAACTGGGAGTGGAGGAGAATCTATAGAAGCTGTATCAGTCCACACACACCTTCTTAGATCATAGCAACACTCACTGAACACAACTAAGAAGGAAGCTGTAGAACAGAATAAAGCCTACTGCAAAAGCAGAATTTGCTTTTCCCAGGCTTTAATGTGTGGGGTGTTCCCTGAATGGATTACAGCTAGCGTGCCCCTATTGTCCAGAGGCATCTAGCCAGGTCTAACTTTAGGTCTACTTGGAGACTCAGGGGAGAATGGAAATGATGGGGGTCTTAAAAAGTTGCACATTGTTCCATGCACCACCAAGACAGTTCACCATGGTGGAGCAGTTAGCTCTCAGTCTTTAAATAATCCTGATCACACCCACTGTCTAGCACCACCCATTTTCTCTTAGGTAGGATTTTGACAAGGACATTCATGTCATCTGTAAGATGAAGGCAGTTTCCTGGAAAAGGCTGGACGAGTTAGGTCCTACATACCTTTATTTCTTACTTTAAAATAATGTATGAAGTAGGACTGATTCATTTTTTTACCTTAGAACCTCCCTCAGTATTTTCATTTCTTCTTGTTCAATTTCACTGAATACATCAGAACCCTCTGTCAAACAGTCGGGCAACACACCTATTGAAAAACATGGCAAAACTTATCCGTTACTCTAAAGAAAATTGTTTTGTACCTCATTTTGGTATCATTCTTCAGGCAGAGTAGAGAAAGAACCCACCCCATCTAATTCTTCCTCTCTGTAACTGTTCCCAAAAAGATTCTAGATCCTGGGCATCAAGTTGCTAGTAGCAAAAAGGCAAAGGTTTCTGAACTACGGAATTTTTGACATCTAAGGGTAAAGCATAAGCCATACTCTGCATTGACCATTATATGGCATTCCCTATAGACTGCAATTCAGCCATGGCTAGCGGGACCGCTTTCAAATTTAGCTGTGATATGAAAGCTGAAACGCAAAAATCCTTCTCTGAAAAGCATGCATGCAGTAAGAAGACAAAACAAAATGGTAAAACTAAAGACATGGAAGAAAGGAGCGGGTAGATGAAAATCCTTTCAGAAACATCAACAGAGCAGCAAAGTTGGGTATAAATTATTTTCTCATCTTTAAAAGCGTGCCTGTATTAGCACGATGAAGGCCGTAACTTCTGCCTTCTATATGGATTTTTCATGTGCAACTGTACAGAGTGAATCGTGAAGTAAGCATGGCAGACAGAACAGCGTCATTGCTATGCAAGTAGCATAATTCAAACTATCGATACTATCATTTTTGATGAAATAATTGCTTTAACACTCAAAATTACCACCAAAATTCTTTAACAAAAAAACTAAGTCAGGTTTCACAGGAAAACTTAAGACGAACAGAACTGAAAAAATCTGTTAACTTAAAAAGGAATATAGCTGCCACGGAGAATATAAGCCAAGGACTAAGTATGGAATTCCTAGACCCAGTAAAATCAACAGAATCTTTTCCATTAACTTGAACTGGAACTAAACCAGCAATTTGATGCTCATTTATGAACGGATTACACAGTCATCAAATGAACACTGAAAAGATGAAAAGAAGTGAACCTCCCCCATTTACCACTTCTTACCATTTCTTTCTTTAATGATTCTAATAGCTTGCAATTGCATTTCAATATTTTTCTGTACCATCATTTTTTTAAATAGTCTAAAATCTTCTGCTGCCAACACTGTTTGCAAAATGGCCTGTGGGAGGAAAGATATGCACAGAATTAAAAACCCGAGAGAAATCACAACCGTCTCAGTCTGCTTGAAATTACACTGGGATTTAAATTCTATGGAGCATGTTTTTAATAATTATATTTCATTCTCCTAGCTATCTGTTTTTCCAGCCGTACAAGTTGAGCTAGTAGTCAAGAAAAGAATTTGATGGCTCATGTCTTTAGATCAACACATCTACAATAATATTATCACAAAACCTGGAGGGTTTCCCAGTGTAAGTTTACAACTGCAATTCATTTGACTTCCTGAACAAATGCGTAAGCTCGAGTGAGGAATGTGCACTCTGAAGTTGCTTGTTACACATCTGGGGGGAGGCATGTCAGCAAAGACCCATTTAAACTGGCAGCAAAAGCTCCCGCTCCTCTGCCCAATATACCCGAGACAATTCGGAAGGATACCTTTGAGCAGGTGAAGGGCTGCCTGACCATGCCTTGTCTGCTCAGGGCCAGCATTTGCCGTACAGATTTTACTGTTTTGTTTTATTATAAAATCAGAGGAAAACATCTTCTATTTTATGGAACATGTCTATTGTTTTAATCTCTGTCTGCTACTGTAAAGAGACTGAAGACTAACATAAAGCTGACAAATACCCAAATAAAGGTGGCAGAAGCACCCTAAGCTTAGAGGTTTGTTTTGGAAAATACAAAGCATAGAAGACGACTCCCAAAAGGTATCTGACACCACACAGATACCCATCATTATTTTCAAGACAGGCATTTTTCTGGTCAAAGTTCATAACATAAACAAACACATTGCGTTTTAGAAAATTACAGTTTTAACAAGAAAATTTTTCAAAGTTTCATCTCCACCCCGCTATATGAGTGAAAACAGGAAGCTAAAAATTAAATCTATATATTCCTAAACAAAGGAAAATTTACCTGCGAAGTGTGTGTCTTTGCAAGAGGAGATGAGAAAGCTTGCTGAAATTTCTCTTCATTAATTCCAACTTCTTTAAGATAGTCTTCTAATAATTTTTCAACCTGTGAGAAAGTATAAGCCTTACTAAGAGGTTTTTCACTAAGGATAATATGATTTTTTTTGTAATTGTATATTCTTTTTTGCTGACATTGTATTTTTTAAACTCAAAGGAAAATCATTGCAATAGTATAAATTATTTTTCTGATATGTCAGGCTTTATTTAATTTCAGTTCAAAATAAGCATTTTTATGGCTAAATTTGATTACTATTTAATTTAGCATCTCCAATTTCCAAGCATCTCACCTTTCAACCTCTTCCCCAGACTCCTGGCTAGTATTCCTCCTCATTTTTTGCCCTGTAGGTAAAAGGCTTTTTGCCAGTCTGGATGCCTGAAACCCTTCGGGGTCAGAGCAAAAATGGATGTTGGTCAGTATTTATTCAACTGATGCTTTAACATCAAATTATTACCAAGCCTTGTTACAGAAAAATATTTTAGAAATCTGTGGGCATTGGCTTATAGGTATTTTAAGCATGCTCCAAAAATCTCCTGTAGTTTTTTTTCTGATAATTGAAAGTTAATTCAAAAGATTTACCAGACTCATTAGTGAAAAAAATACAAGTTATACATGTTCTTAGACATCGTGCTCTTTGTTATTTTAACTTGACAGAAAATATGAACATCATCAAGCTTGTAAGTACCACATTTTAGCTAGCGGATATATTAATTTTAATGAAAAATATGTAACAGCATAAAAGATATGACTGTGTGTTAAAGCTTCTTTTCTATGTGTCTGGTGTTTAAGCATAAAAATCCATATGACAACTATGACTTAGGATTTCTAAATAACACTTGTAACAGGCAATATTAGAAAAGTCTACATAATAAGGATAACACAATTAGAAGTTCATCTAAATACTACTTCAATATTTTAAATTCTGTTTCTTGGAAATCTACCACAAATAGTGGATAATGCTCACCAGAGCTTGGTACTCCTGATAAATTTCTGTGTAAGACAACTTGCTTTCTTCTTCATCATCAAAAACTGTGGAAAAAAAAACAAAACAAAAACACGCATACGTTTTGGAGTTAGTGAACACACCACAAATTAACTTATGCCTTAAAGAGAAAGATTAACCTTTACAAGGTAATAGGTTTAATCATACGAAAATTTAGACCATGACTGATAATAATAATAATAATAATAATAATAATAATAATAATAATAATAATGTATTTCTCCACACATTCAGCAGGCTAAGCATGTACTCTTGGTAATTTAATGTAATTACATTTCATAATTTAATACTGGGAAAACGCATCTTCACAAGAGAAGCAGATTTCTAAGCAAGTTGAGGATTCAGCAGATATGTACGCTAAAAAGATTTAATATAAGAACTACCATATGAACTTGTGTAAGGTTGTTCTAAGATGGCAGACGACATACATAAAGCAGGAAATTTCTCTCTCTCCATGTATTTATGTGGAGGATGTATTAACGACTTAACCCAAATTTTTTAAAATGCCATTCATTTAGCGAGAAGACAAGGTGATGCAGGAAAATGAGAGCCTGCCTGCATAAAACCAGATAAGCCCAAAGAGGGAATCTGCTTCAGGTAAGTTATTTTTTTAGTTATATTTATCCTGATTTAGACAAAATGGGCATCTGTATAGCATAGGCCGTATTAATCATATTCATATAAGTTCATATTAAGAACTCTTGACTGGAAATACCAAGCTAATGATTTCTACACTGCAGAAAATATGGAAGAAACAGAAAATAAGAGAAACTGAAAACTAGGGTTTGGGGTTTTTTAATTTCCATTTTTATCATGTCAGCAAGGAACAGAGGTAATGTAAAACCTAGCAATTAAAGCAGAGGCTTAGAAATAAGACGTCCTCAATCCCCTTCAAGATTAGCCACTATATGTTGGACAAGTCACTTCCCATGTGCATGCTTTGAAGTCATTTGAAGAGTGGGAATTCTGCTTAAACTGGTGAATGAGTGTGATTTATTCTTCCTAATATATATGACATCTCTGATGGATGTGCACAGAATTAGTATAACTTTCACACAAATTTAGAGTGACTTTTAGAAAGCGTCATTTCCCAGCTGTGACAGCCCCGGGGCAACATTGCTCTGAACCTTGATAAGGTGTGATGCAAGATGGCTGTTCCTAAACCAGAAAGTACTTGCATCACTTTCTAACACCTTACAGCAATGCAGTGATAGAAATCTAATCAAACAGTTCAGGCCCTCTAAATAAGCAAGGGAAACTTGCTTTTTAAATTACATAATCTGGAAAACCAACACTTGCTTTTGTTTCATTCTTGCACAAGGGAAATTTTTTTTAATGGATTAAAAAAAAAAAAAAAGCTTTAAAATGTCTAGGAATAAACAGAATCAATTCAAATGCTAGAAAAAGTACTATAAATCTTACTCTCAAAAAATGCAGCTCCTGTGGTGACCACCATATTACCAAACCCAAAAGGGTGAAGACACTTAACTGCCTCTATTGTCTTCAGCATCTCCTCCCCTCTGGGGGATCTCCCTTAAGCCTCTTGCAGACCCCAACCTTTGTCTTAGTGTCTCTGTTCCCTTCTACCTCCTCCTGTTCCTTCCTGCCCTGGGCACCCGAAGGAGGGGTGACACCGGGATGTCACTCGTCAGTCAGCGTCCGTGCCAACAGCTCGCCTCACACTGCCAAGGGGATGCTTCCAAGCCCTCCTCCTCCTCCTCCCACAGCTGCAGGACCACGTGGAAAGCAGAGTGGAAAGCCTGCACAAACTGCTCTCTGTTCTCAGGCTCTGAACAAAAAGAGGATGAAGTTCACTGCCAAGTAAAGCAAGCTGCAGTCAGCATCTCCTCCGAGTTAAGTGGCATTAAGGAGTACTTTGAATGGAGACCTTGGATTTTCTTGAGTCAGGGCTCCTAAATCATGTAGTCATTATTTTCCTTAAGATTTTTGGCACAGTTTTTTGGTTGCCCAACAGGAACAAAGATCTGAAGAACCACCATATCAAGATAAGCTAGGGGACCCTGATATCCTGGGAGACACACTCATCATTTTCCTGTTAAAACTGAAAATCTTTGCTAGGACCCCTCAAAAGGGATGAGTGCTAAGTCAAGTTTGAGTTCTCCCTGCTAGACTGAGCCACTGACTCATTTTACCTCGCAGACAAGAGCTGGTAAGGACTCCTGAGGGAACTCTTCTCCTTCTCCCCCAGTCCTCACTGACTGGTGAGGCAGCTCTGCGCTGGGAGGGAAGGGGTACACAGGCAACAATATCTGTTTATGCCTTCTGTACCTTGTCTTTACCTTCTGGTGCTCAGAACTATGATCAAGCTTATCAATTATACAAAGTGATGTTTCAATTAATACCTTGGAGCATCTCAATAAAACTGAAAAGCCCTCTCGCCTTATATACATACCCATGGATTTAACTTCAGTTTCACAGTCATGTAAAAGGAAACTAATCAAGCCATGAGAAATGAATCAAGTCCCCAGAGAGAGGGAGAGAGACAAAACAAACAAACAATTAAAAACAGACAGAAAACCATTAGGATCATTTATAAGTTGAAGTGCAAGGACTTGGCTTAAGTAACTATACTTCCAAAATAAATTCTTTACCTACCAATTACCAAAACTCAAATTCTATTCTTGAGGAATCACAGATTATGGTCAGTTAATCAAAATGTTGCTAGTTTGCTTGTTCAGCCCCAAGACTAAATGTTTTGAGAACTAAAAGAATTCTGTCCTGACAAAATACCTCAGGAACAAGAACAGCGATGGAATCAGCACAGTACACTTCCAGAAAGGAAAAGCAAATAGCACAGACACCTGCAGCTGAAACTCCCAGTTTCTTTAAGTGTGCTTCTTAGCAACCCTAGCATTGCAGTAACACTTCTTTAGCCTTTTCTTGTTTCTCAATAGCTTCTGGGAGTTGTCCAACAGCACTCTGTAGCACAAATGATACCTTGGAAGATCATTTACTGCAAGTGGTTTCTCTACTTTGTTCCTCCAATTTATGTAGAAACAAACTGGCAGGAAGCGACCATTATACAAGCCTGCCTTACACTACGTGGGAATTTACAGAGGTTCCATAAATCTTCTTACTGCCAGTAAATTCCCCTCAACCTTCTGAGGAGACATCATTGCCCCAGAGAGGGATAATCAATTGCCCTGATTCCTAAACCTAGACCCTTTGCATGACAATCAAAATGCTTGACTGCCCTCAAGTTCAGGCAGACTTACCAAGAGAAAATGCCTATCCTAGATTTCTCTTGCTTTCTAGCTGCGAAGACTCTAGCAGTGGTACCTTTCTCATTACCAAGTAGGCTAGGGAAAGGTGTCCATGCGATCACCTTGCCTCATGCAAAGCTTGGGAAGGGCAGAAACAATTCAGGATAACTTAGAAGCCACTTGTTTAGAAGCTATGATCTGAATCAGAGGTGCATCTGTTTTGCTGAAGATGGAGTAAACCCCAAGAAGAACGACTGCCCAACAAAAAGACAAGACCGGTCCCGCTGAGGCAAGCCATTACAGAAGCTGTTCTGGAGCCCACAGCGGGCTGGACGGGAAGAAGCAAGCAGGCAGAATAGAGCTTGATGTTAGTAAGTCCCTAGAAATAAACTGTATTTGGGAGCCTTACTTTCACGACTTCATGTATTTTAAAGTTAAAATTATTAATGAACCCTACGTCCTGTCAGGTGATACTAAAGGAACAGATTTTATTCATGGGAGCCCCAGAACATCATCCTGAATTAGTCTACGGCAACGTGCTTTAATACTTCTCACGTGAGAATGCCTGCAGGCTGGATCATGGGTTACCATGTTCTCAAACACTTTTTTTTTCCCAATAATCACAGAAGAAAGCTTCCTTCTTTCTAAAGGACTTAAGCAATGCTTTCAGACTTGCCCAAATTGTAATTATTTTGCTACCATAAGGATCCAGGCGTTCTTTGGCAGCAGAAAATCTGTTCTGCAAGTGGCGGAACTAATTTAACCAAATTTCTACTGCAGAAAGTCTATGTCCTCCTTTCCTCACTACGTATGTACATCTATATGGGTCTCCTCAGGCACCTCCACAGGGAGCCACAGACCCATCTCAGCCCCCTCTTGCTGCCTATACTTCCAGTTTACCCAGGGCATTCCCCAGATTATTCCATGATTCCCTCAGGTCTTTCTTCAGGAAGAAAAGGAAGTTTAACCAGAGTTGCTTCTGAGCTAAACTCATGCACAAGACCGCCTACAAATATAACCAATAACCACTGATTTTTTAGTGCTATCATTTTTTGAGAGGTACTAACTTACGGTTTCTCATCTCTTAACTGCCAACATTCACAAAACTGCAGGAATTTAACTTCGGGCCTCCTACTTGCCCATCCTGCTGGCCAGACAGCTATTTTAATTGTCCTGTGCAGTTTCCAAGGAAAAATGCCTAGCTATGGAAACGTATTAAAGGCTTCCAACTGTTTTGTAGCCACGTCAGGGTATTACACGCAGCGGAACGAAGAACTCGCTTGGGTGTCGTGCTGTAAGCTCATGCCCTAATCCCCTGTATGAGCTAATGAATGCAAATTGCCACATGGCAAAAACCGGCTTGCTCGGGGGAGACCGCCTTTCCCAGGGTCCCTCCACCTCCCCAAAACCGGTGCCGAAGTGCAGACGGTGGCTGTGCAAAACCCGACCACCCTTCAGCGGGGATTGCTCTCGAAGGGCGCCCGCGGGGACCGTCACG